GGGGACATCGACGACAGGGGCCATCCGTTCTCGCGCAACGAGGTGAAGCCCATTTCCTCCTGGCAGGCTATCATGCAGCACCACGATGCGACACGCGTCGTCGACTTCGCGCCGGGCTCCGGCGCCCTGGCCGCCGCTGCCTCTGGCGCGATGCAGTGCGAGGGCATCGCTGGCAACGACGCGCATAGGGACCGGCTCAATTCCATCGTGGATAGGCGCGCCATGCACAAGGCGGGCCACGGGAAGGGGCACGCGGAGCAGTTGGGCGGCGACTCGGAGTTCGCCGAGAAAGCCAGCAAGTACTTCGGCAGCGCCACGCTGGAGGCGCGCCGGTGGCTGATGCCGGACGGCGGCGAGGGCGGAGACGACGAGGGCGATGATGAGGCTGAGGAGAGTCCCGATGGCGAGTAAACGGTTGCCAGAAACACTGCTTCTGGCGTGCCACGTGCTACGTCGGAGAGCATTTGAGTTGAGCGGGAGACTATGTGAATGCGAGGGGTGGCACGTGGCGCTGGCGCGTCACCTCTCGCAGAGACACTCTGAGTAGCGTCCGGCGGCGCGTGCGTTTTGACGTCCCGTAGCACGTGCCGCTGCGTGCAATGCCCAGTCGCAGAGGGCCCGGTCCGCCCGCCGAGCGGTCGACGCGCCTGCCGACAGAGATTGCCCGCCGCGCTTGACACGCATTTCTGGAACCGCTCGGTCAGAACAAATGTTTGCCATCATCGCTGTTATCGCCATCGCCATCGTCGTCGTCACCGTCGCCGCCACCACCGCCACCAGCATCGCGTTACGGTCGCGGTCCTCGTCGCTATCGTCCATCATCGCCGCCGTCGTCGCCATCGTCATCATCGCCATCGCGTTGCGGCGGTCTCTTTTTCTGAGGTCCTGTTTACTTTTTGGCGAGGGGTTCTTGGCCGACATTTACGCAGGATCATCCCGCGTGCACGCAATACCACCGCAAAAGTAAACAGCGCCACCATAAAAGTAAACAGGACCAGTCCAAAACTCAACAGGACCCAGCCAACATGCACGCAGGACCATCCCACATGTAAGCAAACCACCCCGACAGTAAACAGGACCACCCCACAAGTAGGCAGGATCTCCGCACAAGTAAACAGGATCTAGCCAAATTTCACGCATGACCATTACAAAAGTACGCAGGACAACCCCAAAAGTAGACAGGACCCCGCCAAAATGCAAACATAACCCAGCCAGAATGCACGAAGCCCCATCCCCATAGTAAACTCAGGACCGCCCCACAAGTAAAGACGCCCACCCCAGATGCACAGCGGGCCACGCCAAAAATAATCAGGACCACCCCAACAACTAGACAGGACCATGCAAAAAGTAAGCAGGACCACCCAACAACTAAACGGGACCACCCAAACATCTCAAAACGACCGCCCCGAAAGTAAACAGGACAACCCCACAGTAAACAGGTTCATCCGCAAAAACTAAGCATAACCACTTCAAAAGTAAACATGGCCACGCCAAGACTAAGCAGAACGACGCCAAACGCCAATATAACCACCCCAAAAGTATACTGAATATCACCGCGCCACAAGTAAACAGGACCACCGCATAACTAAGCAGGGCCGGAAAAAAGAGCACCACCCCAAATTGGCAAACAGGGCCACGCCGGAAGTAGACGGGACAATGGCGTCCCCAGAAAGAGGAGAAGAGAAAAACACATTTATATATAAATAAAACGCACTACCTTTTGAACAAGTAAGCAGGACCACCCAACACAACTAAACAGGACAATGCAAACAAACGCAAACAAGACCACTCAACAACTAAACGGGAACACCCCAACATCTAAGCAGGACCATGCCCCCCCCCCCCCCCCCCCCCCCCAAAACAAAACAAAACAAACAGGACCGCCCGATACCTAAACAGGACCACCACGCAACTAAACATGGCCACCCCCGAAAGTAAACAGGACCACCCCACGTACTAAACAGGACCATGCAAAAAGCAATCAGGACCACCCAACAAACTAAACGGCACCATGCAACGCATGTACTCAGGACCACCCAAAAACGAGACAGGGCCACCGCGAAACCAGTCGTGACCTGGGGTGGTGCGAATCTCACGACAGCCTTGTCCGCAAGCGTTCGGGTACTTCCGCGCTTGTAGAGGGGGGGGGACTGTAAGCTTCAACCTCCCCGCAGAAACTGAGGCTGAGGATCTGACGTGTAAAAAAAAATCAGCCGATATTATATACCATATCCATAATCATACCACAGTTCTGTGTATCAGAGATTTAGCATGCGCACTAATGCGAAGCGGGTCCTGTGTGTTGTATGTTCATATGTACACAAACCGCGTGCAATATTTCATGTTAGTTATGGTTCCATACTGGGTTTGCGTCCGCCAATATCATGCTACACACACTTTTATTGTAGGTTTGGGTGCGGACAATCTGGTTTGAACTGCGCTGGGGGGGTGATATTTTGGTAAGGCCGACATGTGCATATAAACATCGCGCTCGAGATTCTTAGGCAAGCCGTACCACATGCAATGCAAAAAACGTGTCGGTGCCGACGTCAAACCACTGCCAATCTGTTGTTGTTGACCCGTGTGATGTACCATAACTTGCACTAATACCGTGGGAGCTCGGTTCGGCGTGTTCACGTTAGCGCGTTGCGTGCACATCACTGCGCTCGGCGTCTGCCCCGCGTGTCCCCCGGTGACCAACTGCCCACCCTTAGCCCATGGGATGCGACGATGGGCGGGCTTTCAGAGAGCGTTGCGCACCGACATGTGGCACGAGCGGTAGTGCATTATCATATTGCGTGCTTGTGCTTTTCCACCTTCAGTGGTATCGTTCAGTATCGGTCTGACTTGGATCGCGGGGCCCTCCTCGATCGCCGCAGCTGGATTCGGCACGACCCCATGCTATGGTCCTGGCGCGCTGCGCTAGCTTCTAGTTATGCGTTCGTTTGTGTCTGGACAGCCTTGGCCTCGAGGTGTGTTTTCGTTGGGTCTGGGCTGTGTCTTTGGGTCCAGTGGAGCGGGCCGTTTTGGCCCAAGCATTTGGGGCATGTCGTCCCTTCAGATTCGAAGGCAACTTGCAATTGCTGTCCGGGCGTACGTGACCACGGCGCCCGATGGAGAGCTGATTATTCTTCGTGACGCGTTGCCCTCTTCTGTCTCAGACGTGTCGGGTCACTCAGCTGGCGGCGAGCAGAATCCTTGCCAGGAACAGTTCGCCGCGCTGGTTCCACGGAGCAAATTATCTGGCACTGGCGCTGCCCAGTATCTTGCGAGATGCGTTTGGCAGGCACGATGCGCCATCCACAGAGCAGTGGGCGCAGATGCTGGCTCCGGCACCGGCGGTGCAACCAGCACCGCCACTCCAGCTGGTAGCAGTATCAGCAGCGGCGGCGCCTGTGCAGCCATCACCCACTGCGCCAGCCGCTGCAGGTGTGCAGACTTCTTCGTCATCAGCTGCCGTCGTGCCCGCCGATGCGATTGTGCCATCGGTTGCGCCGACAGATCTTGTGCCAATATCTGCAGACAGCTTGATGACCAACCGTGGCCATCGACGACAGCTTACCTTGGTTGCGCAGAGTTACAGGTCGTTGCCCACCGACACTCTTGTGAGGCTGTTGGAACTGCGTGACCAGGAGCGTGAATGTCTTATCTCATCGTACCGGGCCCGTTGCGACGAGCAGCAGCGTGCAGCGATTCGCGACGCGAAGCTCATCAAACGTCTGTCAGATGAGGTCGCCCGGCTGAAAGGTGCTCACGAGAACGTGTCTCAGTTTCAGATTACGCGGGGGCCCAAGAATGTGAAGTTGACGGTGAATGGCTCCACGGCGCTGGCAGTTCGCAGGAATATGGCCAATGTTGCCGCATCTGCATTTGGAGCCATTACGCTCGAGGATGTTTCACAGTGGACGGTTTGCAGGGCCGAGGTGACGCTTGGTATGCGACTCGTGGCAAGCTTCAATGCATTCCATCGCCATTACGAGAGTGATATTGTGGATCAGCTGCTGTCGGCGCGTCGCCGACCGCCACCATCTTGTCCATCAGTGTGCTGCCTTGCGGTCCATCGGTTCCGCTCCGACGCAGCCAATGGCAGTGCATGGCAGAAGAGCAAGCTCTTGACCACCGAATTGGAGAGTATATACGTGTGTCGAGATGCTATGGCGCTGCGCGCTGGTTACGACGACATCAATCATGCTGTTTGGTCCTCTTCGCCGAGTATGCGGCGAGTGCTGGACTTGCAGGTTGTATCGGATGGGAGCGGTGACGCCTCGTACAATATGCTGAGAAAAGTGTGTATGCTAGCGGGCTTCGATTGGCTCACCCCCCATCCGCCGTGCGACGGCGCCGACGAGTCGATCGAGCCGCCCACGGTTGTGAACTGGCGGCTGATCATGTACATTTCAGATGGCGGCCCGGACCAGGTGGGGCGGGGGCCGCATGGAGGGCGAGCGCGGGTCAAGGAGGCGGCGGCGGGGGAGAAGAAGACGAGGAGGCGTAGGGAGGAGTGGAGGGGAGGGGGAGGAAGCTACTGAGGAGGAGGGGGATGAGATGAGGTGAGAGGCGGAGGGAAGCGGAGGAGGAGGAGGAGGAGGATTCCGAGGCGTGAGATGTTATGAGATCCTCAGCGGCAGCGATGCAGCGAGAATAGGATGGTGCACGCTCGAGGGGCCGATCCTTTGTCTCAGCGCAGCTCGACTCGCCGGCGGCAGCTGGTGGCTAGCGCGGCTGGCCAATCGCGTTGCTTACACTCCCCGCGACACTCCCCTATCCTCATCCGCCCTCTCCTTGTCCGACCCTTGCCCCCCCCGTGATGGTATGTTGCTCGAGTCTCTGCCCCCCTGGCCCCCCCCTCCTAGCCTGCTGCTCTGCCGCTGCGGCTGCCACGTGCTCCACCCCTCACCCTGCCACCCATCCCCCCCCACAGCACCCCAGCATCTCCCCTCGGGATCGGGGCGGGAGGTGGGCTTCAAGAAGCTGCTCAAGGCGGCGCTCGAGCACGCCCGGGGCGTCACGCTGCTGGACCTGAGCTGCTTACACCACATGCACAGCCTCATTCAGAATGATATCCTGAAGGTCGTGGACAATTGGTTGCATTCTCGCTTGGACCATCAGTGTCCTGTCTGGCATTATTACTCTTCCCTCACCAAGATCAACATGGTCTGGAGAGATAATGCCAGGTCCGTCTTCTCCCACTGGTCCAGACACAACGGCGGCCCGGGCATGCGAGATAGAACGACACCAGCTTGGCGACATCAAATTGAAACATGTTGGCCCTGTGGGCCCGAGTTAAAGTAGTCATTTTATGCACGCGCTGCGGTGGCAGTGATGCGACTGCTAAGCTGGAGTCGTTCCCTCTCTAACTGTGGCTAAGATCGC